CATTTGTTCCTAACAACCACCAATTCCTCCCGCAACCACCTCCTCTCCGCATCCCCAACTGGACCGTAAACTCCCGAAAACTACCCCCTGGTGTCATCTTCCTCTAAAGAGAACAAAATGGAGATAGATGACCTCCTTTCCACACATCAACCTTTGACACCCACCTTATATCCCAAAATAACACAATTTCCCCTGAAGACCCAACCACATCAATCACAGCACACGCGCCTCCCATTTTCTCAACAAGGCCTTCACCACCTTCTTTTTGTTCGGGTCGTTTAATCTCCGATCATTCCAAGACACGATTTTAAGCTTCATAGATATCTTCCCCCCCCCCCCCCCCCCCCCACCCCCCTCCTCTTCTCCTGGCCTTTCTCTTTCTCACTTCCTCCTCCACTTCTCCCCTCACTGCCTCCACCACTCCGCCCCTAATAGTTCACATAAGAAATAAGGAGGTTTCTAAGTTCCCTTTCCCCCTTCCAACACGGACTCTTCGTGTGCTTAACCGTGGCCCATTCGTTGTCCACAGTTTGAAAAATCTCATGAACTTGTTTATCTTCCCCTGCACATGACAACCCCAACAGATTTGCAGCCTCTTCAATGCATTCCATGAACCAGTTCCCGGTATTCTCATCCATATTTCAATTGTCCAGGCGCATGAGAATGCGATCTTCCTCTTGGCCCAGCCTAAGCCGATGTCATAAAATGGTCACGTGAACATCTTCTGTTCAAAGGGCCACGTGTTGAAGATTTGAAATTCAAATTAGCCCCTGCTGCATGCCCGTTATCCGGATAACGCCCTCCTTGGCCTCCACCAACTTGGTTTAACATGAGTAGGTTGTTGTTGAAATGTTCCTTGAGTGGGGGCGGCGGCGACCATTTTTGATTGTATATGGATATTACCAATAATGAGCTCTAATCACTTTGTATTATTTTATTGACTGTAGTGCATAAGGAAATAGCTCTACAGTCGGTGGCCTTGGCACATGTATTTGCTTTGGGATTCAAACATATAAAAGAAGAGTTCACCCTGTATACATTTTGGACGGTTGGGAGAAGAACTGAATAGCCTGAACCACCTTGTTACACAAATACCCAAGAACTGCTTAAAAAACCTTGGAGAGGATCCACCAAGTTAGGCCTGTTGTCTGGGCTTAGCGGGTCAATAACAGCTTTGATTTTCTCCATCAGAAAATTTGGATTCCAGAATCCGAGCTTCTTCAAGTGTCAATTTCACTATTGAATCAATGGGAATAGAAGTAACAGTTTGAGATTGATCCACATTGAACAATTTCTGATAATATTTCACAAAATCCTACCTTATATGATCCAATTTTGTAGACCACAAACCTTCCTCACTTTGGAGAGCTAAAATTCATGAAGTCATTAAATCCCTAGCTTTTTTGGCAGCCATCATCTCCTCATTTTCCAAAGCTTTCCAGCTCATGATGATGCCCACAGGCAATGGATGAGAGTTTTCAAAATTTAGAACAAAACATGAGTACTTTTATGGACTCGATGACATCTATGAAGGACTCAATAGCCCAACTCTATGATGCATAAGGCTGACACATTAGCTTTTCCATGACCCATGCCGGGTCCTAATGACAGTCTCCATCATTACGGAATAAAGTCTTTAAATCCTCGTCGTGGTCTTCTCCCTAGGTTTGGAGCCTTCTCGAAGCCCTCAACAAGGAGATTCTAACTTAAGGGAGAGTCAAATTCTACATTCCCATAGGAAACCTCTTTCACATGTTCACCGTCGAGTCACAAATTGGAGGCTTCCATAAGAAGAATTAGAGGACTTAGATGAGTATGAACAATTACCGAAGAATGCGACACACATGTCGGACACGTATCATGGCCGTGTCTGTATATTAAATATAAAAAAAATTTAAGGCACGTTTTTTGGTGTTTGTCAGTGTCCGACATAATTCTTTGCCCTTTTATCTGTGCATGTTCTTCCTATCCCTTAGCCATATAGGGTAGCTTGGGTAGGTAAGATTGATGTACAATGTCAGAGAGGTGTTTGGTGCAGCTTGGGGCAAGATTTTGACGTTGGATAACTTGAGAAGGAGAAGACAGGTTACTGTCAATTGGTGGTGCTTGTGTAAGAGGGATGGATAGTCTGTGGATCACCTTCAGCATTGCTCCGTGGCTCATGATTGTTGGAGCCTTATCTTTGATTTGTTCGGTGTTCAGTGGGTTATGCCTCAGTCTTTGAGAGGTTTGATCGACTCTTGGAGAGGCTGTTTTTGTGGGAGCCCACACTTGTGATTTTTGGAGGACGGCACCCTTTTGTGTTTGGTGGCGCATTTGGAAGGAGCGGAATAGAAGATCTTTCGACGGGGAAGAATCTTCCACGGGGTTTTGAAATTTCATACTATTAGTTCTCTTTTTAGTTGGGGGATAGGGGAAAATTGTAAATCCATAGAGGAGTTTGTTGATTTTTTTGGGCTTCTTGAGTCCTTAGTTCCTTGTTATTTGGCTCTGGCCTTTGTGTACTTCTCGGGATGTGTTCCCCTTTTGAACAATTTCTATATTATTCTTACTAAAATTTCATATTATTAGTTGGGGGATGGGGGGAAATTGTAAATCCATAGAGGAGTTTGATTTTTTAGGCTCCTTAAGTTTTTATTTTCTCCGTTCTTTGGCTCTGGCCTTTGTGTACTTCGTGGGATGTGTTCCCATTTTGAACGATTTCTATATTATTCTTACTTATAAAAAATAAAAATAAAAATGAAAGAGTATTCAGATAAGATTTGGTATGACGTCTACCTATGGAGGTCACCCACATGATCCTTGGTCACCCTTGGTCTTATGATTTAGCTGGATGATACCTATGTATTCAAATATAAGGGTAGAACTATCATGTTAAAGACCTGCAAGGCCCATAAGAAATTTGTATTTGCAAGGCAAAAGAAATTAAAATGGTGATAGGCAAAGGTTTGGAGGGGTGATATGGAATATGTTTCACCATCAAATGAGTATGTAGACAGTGTTTAGAGTTGTTAACTAAGACCAAAGAAATTGGAATTTATTGGATTGGAAGCTTTGTGGGTACTCTCTCTCTCATGGTGTATAAATTAGACATCTTTCTCCAAAAGTGGAGAATTTGAAACGCATTAGGTTTAGTGCTTGGTTATTTGCCATTTGGTACTGTTGAAAAGTACCCTTTTGCTTGATTAATGAATGAAGATAAATTCCTTCATGGATTAGATAAGCGTTCCAATGGTTTCATTGAGGAATTGCTTATTTTTGTTGTAACAAAATAGTTGTTGTCAGTATAATTGTTGAAGACTCAAAGCGTCAATTCCTTTTGGAGCTTGAGGCATGTGGTGCAAGGTGAGTCACACGCTGACTGTAGCGAGGCACAAGTCGGGGAACAAAATGGCACCCAGTTAAGATGGTTTTTCAATAATGGACAACAATACAAACATGGACAAATCAATCGACGTTGGTCAATAAAAAAAATGACCCTGCTTCTTTTTTCTCCTTGCAAATCGCGGCAGCTTTCTCTTTGCAAGCCCTAGATCTCAATTCTCGACTCCCATTTTGTCCCAAGATGACCCAACTTCTTATATCTTTAATTTATTATTATTATTTTTAAATTTTTTTATAACCATTAGTGAGTCACGTGAGAAGAAAAATAGAAAAACAAGGGCTTCAATCTGGGTTGCTTTAGGCTTGGTGTGCCTGAGCCAAGGCATGCTCGGCTATGTTGAGGCGTCGGGCTTGCGCTGTAAGGCGCCTGGATGCCTTTGACAGCTATGGTTCTGTACTTAGAAGTACACTTTTCCTAACCACAATACTGAAAGTTGTTAATATTGATGCTCCCAAGCAGTGATGCGTTGCTACTCCACATGACATGTGAATTATATGCCTCAAAATTGAAAAAGTTGTCATGTAAATGTCCCATATATACCTTATGTTTCAAAGGCTCCCATGATTGTCCTTGTGATAAATTATCAAAATTAATATTTTTTGTATAATAACATAATATTATATTACTATTTTATTGTTTGTCGTACTATTTCTCTTAGCTGTTTTAGTATTAGTGTTTCTTCGCCCCCTACTTATTTGTATGCAGCAACCTAGCAAATTAATGGCCATCTTTAATCTAATCAAATGGTGTATATCAACTCTCTACAACAATCTTACCAAGTATCTTAGATTTTTACACACTTTTGATTGCCATTGAAATCCTAATCTATTAAACTCTATTATTATCAAACACATTTTAGAAATCTCCATCATTCCTTGCTTATTTACACACAATTTTGGAGCACTTTAGAAACTAAAAGACTATAGCATGTCATGTAGTTGCCATGTTACCTTACCAAAAGCGCATCCGTGGCGCTTGAGTGGCCTAACCTTCATTTAACTTAAGACAGGTCGCGACAATTAACTTATATTCAAATATTACCAATGAAGTACCATGCATAACCGGAAAAAAACCACACAATAATCTCTAGGTGTTCTCATGTTTGTGGAACTCTTAATCTTACAACATACTCTTTCATTTATGTAGATGAGTCTCTCGTACCCCTTGTTTGTTGTGGAAAGATCTAGGCTGAATTGTTAGGAAATTAGTTAGGGAGAATTTTTAGGAATTATCCATAGCTAGATAGTTGCCTTTTTTAAATTTTACATAAATAGTTCCTATATTATAGGAATTATGATCTGTATAGTTATTTTCCTTTGATAGAATTTGTAATACACTTCTATATATATAGGCCTGTAAACTAACATATGTGATATATATATATTTTTTGATAAGTAACATATGTGATATATGAAAAGAGAATATTAGAATTTATTCTTTTTCACCTTTGTGTTCATGGTATCAGAGCCGCCCTCATTAGGACGGTAAATTACTACATTGTTCTGCTGATTATCTGATAAAATCAGCAAACATTCATCGTTAATTCTGGTTGTTTATAGCAGAATTATAGAAGACTTATTCTTCTATTTCCCTTCGTCATTTCTGGACGTTTCAGTCGATTCTTCAAATGCTCGGAAATCCTGGATCACTTCATCCGGTTCAGGTAACTACCCAATCCTCAAAATTACCACTCATTGGTTGAATGGACATAATTTTCTACGGTGGTCTCAATCCGTAAAGTTGTTCGTCCGAGGGCAGGGGAAGATTGGTTATTTAACTGGTGCAAAGCAGGCCTAGAGGAAGATGATCCAACATATGCCGTTTGGGATGCAGAAAATTCCATGATTATGTCATGGCTAGTGAACTCCATGGAATCGGAGATATGCCAAACATTTATGTATCTCTCCACTGCTAAAGAATTATGGGAGACATACTCAGACTTGGGCAATTCCGCACTAGTATTTGAAATTAAAACAAGGATCCGAGAAACAAGACAGGGAGATCAGACTGTTACAAAGTATTACAACATATAACAAGGTTTGTGGCAAGAACTCGACCTCTTTTATGATTTTGAATGGAACTGTACAGGTGATAGTGGCCAGTTCAAGAAACAGTTAAGAAGGACCGTGTATTTGACTTTTTAGCTGGACTCAATGCTGAGTTAGACGAAGTAAGAGGATGTATTCTAGGCAAAGAGCCACTGCTTACCACTAGAGTAGTCTTCTCGGAAGTTTAGAGGGAAGAAAGCCGCAGGTTGGTGATGATGGGAAAGAAATCCTCTAGCACTCATAATGAGAACTCTGCACTCAATGTAACAACCACTGAAATGGCAGCAGTTGCAGTTAATCCAAAACCAACAAATCACCCACAGCAGAAGATTGAAGAGAAAACCAAGATCTGGTGTGATTTCTATAACAAACCAAGGCACACGCGAGAAACATGCTGGAAACTACATGGAAAACCAGCAAATTGGAAGGTAGGCAGATTTGGAGACAAGAATGGGCGTGGAATGTAGGTTACTACTGAAACCGAGACATCTCCATTCACTAAGGAGCAACTTGATCATCTCTCCAAACTGCTGAACCAAACTCAGGTTTCAAGTGTCTCCTCAGGTTCTCTTGCCCAAAAAGGTATCTCTTTAAGTGCTCTCACTAGTTCTTTAAATCCGGCACCTTGGATCATTGATTCTGGTGCATCTGATCATATGACTAGTTTATCACATTTGTTTAGTACATATTTTCCAAGTTTTGGTCACTTAAAAATTCGTATTGCTGATGGTAGTTTGTCTCTAGTTGCAGGAAAAGGTTCTATAGTTGTCTCAGAAAACCTTGTTTTAAAATCTGTCCTCTATGTGCCCAACCTTTCATGCAATCTTTTATCAGTTAGTAAACTCACCAAGGATTCTAACTGTGTTGTCAAATTTCTTGATTCTCACTGTGAATGTAGGACCTATATTCGGGGAAGATGATTGGCAGTTCTAAGATGGTTAATGGACTCTATTATTTTGATAATGAAATCTTCAAGAGTGGACAAGCTCAAGCTGCAAGTAGTAATGATATTTCTATTTCTGTTAAAAGTCAAATAATGTTATGGCACTATAGGGTAGGCTTTACCAGTTTCTTTTACTTGAAAACATTTGTTACCATCACTGTTCAAAAATTTAAATCCTTTGCTATTTCATTGTGAATCTTGTCAATTATCAAAGCACCATCGTGTTTCTTATCCTTCTCATTTATATCAAGCATCCAAACCATTCATAGTGATGTGTGGGGGCCTTCTCGGGTTACTAACGTGACTGGAACTAGGTGGTTCATCACTTTCATTGATGACCATACTAGAGTGTGTTGGGTATATCATTTGAGAGAAAAATCTAAGGCTGCAAGAGTGTTTAAAGAGTTTTATGCCATGATTGAAAACCAGTTTCAAACCCGGATTCAAGTATTTAGAACCGACAATGGAAAAGAATTCTTTTAACTCTATTATTGGTGATTTATTTGAAAGAAAGGGTATTTTCCATCAGTCCACTTGCTTCGATACCCCACGACAAAATGGGATAGCTGAGAGAAAAAACTGCCATTTACTTGAGGTTGCTAGGGTAATAATGTTTACTATGGGGGTTCCTAAATATCTATGGGGTGAGACTGTTCTTACAGCTTCATACTTGATCAACAGAATGCCAACTAGGGTGTTGAAATTTGAGACACCCTTAAATAGCTTGCTGTCAGTTTTTTCCTATATTAGGATCTTCACCTCACTACCTCTTAAAGTGTTTGGATGCACTGCTTTTGTACATGTTCATACATGGGACCGTTCAAAACTTGATCCTAGGGCTGAAAAATGCGTGTTTGTTGGGTACTCTCCTAAACTGAAAGGGTATAAATGTTATAACCTCACCTAGAAAAAAATTCTTTGCGAGTGTGGATGTGACCTTTTTTTGAGACTCAACCCTATTTGACCAAAAATACTCTTCAGGGGGAGAGTAATGAGAGGGAAGATCATTTTTGGGAAGTGTTGGGCTCTTTACCATTGCCGAGTGTTTCACCAAACTCTACCTCTATTTCAACCTCTCCAAAGCCTATTGAGTCCAACATTATAGACTACACTTTAGGGGGAGAACCACTTCAAACCCAACCTCAATCTGAGCTCCGTGTTTACTCTCGAATAAGGAAGGATCAAAATAAACAGCCCCAACCTACTACCTGCCAAGAAAATTCTCCGCATAAAGGCAACTTGAATGAAACAAGTATTTCTGTCTCTAATCCATCTTTAATTTCTGAAACCAGCAATGACGAGAGCCTTTCTCATGACGTTGATATTCCTATTGCACTTAGGAAGGGTACTCGCTCTTGTACCATGCATCCTATTGCTAAATATGTGTCATACCATAGATTATCTCCAAATTATAGAGCTTTTATCACTAATCTCTCTAGTGTTTCAATTCCTAGAACTATACAGAAGGCCTTGAATCATACTGAGTGGAAGGCAGCTGTTATGGAAGAGGTAAGGGCTCTTAATAAGAACAAAACTTGGGAGATTGTTGGAAGACCGTAGGCTGCAAATGGGTGTTCACGGTAAAATATAAGGGTGGTGGTAATATTGAGAGATACAAGGTGAGACTCGTAGCTAAAGGCTTCACCTAAACATATGGAATAGATTACCAAGAAACCTTTACCTCGGTGGCAAAGGTGAATTCCATACTGTTGTCTCTTGCTGCAAGCTTGAGTTGGCCATTGCAGCCGTTTGATGTAAAGAATGCGTTCTTAAATGGTGAGCTAGAGGAAGAAGTGTTTATGAATCTACCACCAGGATTTGAAAATGATTATGGAGCTGGAAAGGTGTGTAAATTGAAGAAATCGCTATATGGTTTGAAACAATCACCCAAAACATGGTTTGATCGATTCACTAAAGCTATCAAGGGTCATGGATATCGTCAAAGTCAGGCTGATCACACTCTTTTCTACAAAAATTCAAGTGATAGTAAGATAGCCATACTTATTGTTTACATGGATGACATAATCTTGACCGGAGATAATAAAAGAGAATTGAAGGATTTGAAGTCTTTTCTTGCGAAGGAATTTGAGATAAAAGATCTTGGAGCTTTGAAATACTTCCTAGGAATGGAATTTGCCAGATCCAAGAGAGGAATATTTGTCTCTCTAAAGGAAGTATGTGTTGGATTTACTTATGGAGACAGGTTTACTTGGCTGCAAACCGGTGGAAACACCTATGGAGCCCAATTTAAAGTTGCAGGCAGCAAGTGCAGAAAAAGTGAACTGATAGCAATTCCAAAGGCTGGTTGGAAGACTCGTTTATCTTTCACACACTCAGCCAGATATTACCTTGCAGTGAGTGTAGTAAGTCAATTTGTGCACTCACCAGGAGAAGAACACTTTGAGTTAGTCTACCGGATTCTCAAATGCCTAAAGGGATCACCTAGAAGAGGTTTGTTATTTGAAAACCACGGCCATCTAAGTATTGAAGCCTATACCGATGCTGATTGGCACGTAGTGTGACGGATAGAAGGTCTAATTCAGGTTACTGTACTTATGTTGATGGTAACTTGATTACTTGGAGGAGCAAGAAGCAAACTGTTTCGTAGCAAGTATTGAAGAAGCTGAGTCTAGAGCAGTTGCTCATGGAATTTGTGAACATTTGCGGTTGAAAAGATTACTTGAAGATCTTAAAATCTCAAGTTCGATATTCAGGGAAAAAAAAAAAAAATCTCAAGTTCGATGCCTATGAAGCTTTACTGTGATAATACAGCTGCAATCAACATAGCTCACAATCCTGTCCAACATGATAGAACTAAGCATGTGGAAGTTGATCTACATTTTATTAAGGAGAAATTGGAAGGAGTGATATGTATGCCCTATATTCCTACAGGAAAGCAGGTAGCAGATATCCTCACTTAAGGATTACCGAAGGGGAAATTTGACAATCTTACATGCAAGTTGGGAATGGAAGATATTTTTCGAGCCAGCTTGAAGGGAGTGTGGAAAGATCTAGGCTGAATTGTTAGGAAATTAGTTAGGGAGGATTTTTAGGAATTATCCATGGTTAGATAGTTGACTTTTTTAATTTTACTAATTATAGGAATTATGATCTGTATATATCTTTTCCTTAGATAGAATTTGTAATACACTTCTATATATATAGGCCTTTAAACTAACATATGTGATATTGAAAAAAGAATATCAGAATTTATTCTTTTTCACCTCTGTGTTCATATACATATGAAGATCCTTAGCCCTGTATGGTGTCCAGGGATCCTATTCCCAGTAAAACAATGATATTAGAGATCTCTTTGGACCTTTTTTTTCCCTTGGGCAAGATAAAAAATATTATTAATAAAACAATATAGTACAAAGCTATAAGCAAAGGCATGCCTTTGGTAAACATCAGTCAGAGACCAAAACGAAAAACTAGAGGATCAAAGCTGCGAGAGCCAAAACATAAAAGATTACAAAGAGCTGTAAGATATCTTTTTGAACTTCGAAAGTCAGAGACTCATTTAAGGTTCACTCTGAGCCATTGAGATTGATCTTGGGCATTATTCTGCACTCTAGGGCAATGATTTCAATCCTTCATGCTTAAGGATTGATCCTCAACTCTTCAACAAGAAAATGACTAAAGTGATGGACATACATAACCAGACTGACCAACTGGCTTGCCCATTCACAATGCATTCTTGGTCATGGAATTTTCCAATATAAAGATTGCTTATCCTAACAGAGGTTAGATGGAAAATTGAGCTTAATGAAAGAAATCATTCAAAGAGCCAATTCATGTCATCTTATGATTTTATTAATTATTTGGATTGCATTCTCTTTTTAAGTTCACGTGCATATTCTTCTCTGGTTTATTTTTCAGGCATTGGCAATGATACCTTAACTCAAGAAGTTGCTGCCAGCAGGAGTGCTTTCATTGATTGGGATGCACTGTTTAAGGGTTTTCATAATTCCGAAGAGCACGACAGCAGCACTGTTTTTGCTTGCAAAATGTTTGAGTTGTGGCTCAAAGATGTAAGTACTTCATCTCAAATCGCATGGGATGGTTGATGCATTATATGGTACTGGCTTAAGCTTTTCTTTTTTCCCATCTTTTCTTTATTTGAGCATCATTTTTCCAAATTTTGTGATATTCTTTTAAAACCAGCAAAGTTAAATACCATATTTTCATTAAAAATTCTTATCCAGAAGATTTGGATTCCCCCCTCCCCCCCCACACACACACACAATCAATTATTTTATGCTAATTTTTAAGATATATGTTTTAGCTGATGGATCGATACTTCATGTTGAATGAGATTCTTGAAACTACAGGTAATATCAGAATTGTCAAGAATAAATTGGAATTGTGATTACTGCCATTAGCATTCCACCTTTTGATGAATGCTCACCTCGTTTTATGTATTCACAAAATCCCTTGGAAGCTAAAGCTGGAGAAAAGATTAAGGTTTTTACCCTTTAAATGGGAAATGTGGAAAGAGATTATGGATGTTGCACCATGTTAATGTTTGTTAAATTATGGTTAGTGTGGTCCGCAACACAGAATTAAACAATTGTATGCATCCTAGAGGATAATTGCACAAACATAAAAAGGAACCATAGCTTAACACCAGGTTAACATACAGGGTTCTTCTTTTATTATTATTATGTTTTATATGTTTCATACCTATGATCAATACTACAAAAAGATGTGGAGATAGATGGTGATGTTATAAGTGGGATTGGAGATGGGTTTCGAAAACAGAGGTGAGGAGAGGGAGGTTTTCTATTTCGTGTGCTTTGTCTATGGAGGATGGGTTTTGTTGGATGTTTTCTAGTGTGTATCGTCCAGTTAAGGATGGGGATAGGTACATTTTGTCGGAAGAGTTGGGGTAGTGAAGGATCAATGGGGTTTTCCGTGGAGTGTGGGGGGTGGGGGAGATTTCGATGTTGTTAGATCCCCTATAGAGAGATCAACAGGAGGAAGATGGTCATCGGCTATGGAGCAGTTTTCTGAGTTCATTGACAGTTACCACCCACATGATCTACCGCTGGAGGGAGCTAAGTTTACATAAGGGAGTGGTAGAGAGGCTCCTACATTGTCGCGATTGGATCGTTTCCTTCTCTCGGGAGGCTAGGAAGAGAAGTTTCCGGACATGGTATAGGAAGCTTTGGCTAGACCGACATTTGATCATATTCCTGTGGTTTTAGACTGTGGGGGATTGAGGACGAGGAGTACTCCTTTCCGTTTTAAGAATATGTGGTTACGGGCTGAGGATTTCCAGGGATGTGTGAAGAAGAAGTGTTGAAGGCGCTAAGGAATTGTAATGGTTACGGGGACAAAGCTCCGGGGTCGGATGGTTTTACTATGAGATTCCTCCTGGAGAGTTGGGCGGTGGTTAGTGGAGAGGTGATGGCTACATTTCACACCTTTCATATTCAGGGGAGGTTTGAGAGTTCCTTGAATGCATCGTTCATTACACTTATTCCAAAGAAGGGGGGAGCTTCGGATGTTAAGGACTTTAGACCTATTAGTTTGTTGGGCTGTATTTATAAATTAATAGCTAAAGTTCTAACATTATGATTGAGGGATGTTCTGGATGATATCATTTTGGAATCTCAAAACACCTTTATAGGTGGGCGTCAGATTCTTGACTCAGCTCTTATCGCTAGTGAATATGTGGATACGAGGTTGAGGAGTGGCGTCCCAGGGGTTCTTTGTAAGCTAGATGTTGAGAAAGCTTATGATCATGTGAGCTGGAAGTTCTTGCTGTACTTGATGGAGAGAATGGGTTTTGGGGATAAGTGGAGGAGTTGGATTGAGGCTTGCATATCTTCAGCCAGATTTTCAGTGTTGGTTAATGGGTCTCCGACTGGTTTTTTGGTAGCTCGCGAGGTTTGCACCAGGGGGATATCCGTTGTCTCCTTGGTAAGTGGTTGTGGAGATTTGGAGTGGAACGTCGTTGTGGAGGAGGGTTATTTTGTGTCGGCTTGGGGAAGAAACACACCCCCCCCCCCGGGGGGGGGGGGGGGGGGGGGGGGGGTGTTCGTGTTTGGAAATCCATTAGGAAAGGATGGAATGAGTTCTCCAAACACATCAGATTCAGAGATCAAGATGGTAGGGATGTGAGTTTTTTGGAGGATCTTTGGGGTGGTGATTATACACTTGCTTATTCATTCCCCAGATTGTTTAGGATTGCTGTTGATAGGCATGTCTTGGTCGCTGATTGCTATCGGCTTGATAGCGGGAGGTTGACTTGGGATGTGTGGTTTGTGCGAGCATTTCAGAATTGGGAGTTGGACGATATTTGCGGGTTATTAGATCGTTTATATCGGCTTGAGATCCGTGGCGGAGATAGAGATTCACTTGTTTAGGTGCCTTCTTCGTGGGGAATGTTTGAAGTGAGATCTTTTTTTCGATGCCTCTCAAATACTACAAGGATTACGTTTCTGTGGAAAACAGTGTGGAGATCTAAGGTCCCGCTTAGAGTGGCGTTTTTTACTTGGACAGTGGTGTAGGGCAAGATCTTGACGCTTGATAATTTGAGGAGGCAAAGACAAATCACAGTTAACTGGTGTTGTATGTGTAAGTGCAATGGGGAATCGGTCAATCATCTTCTTATGCATTGTCCAGTGGCATTGGATTGCTGGTGTCTTTTGCTTGGAATGTTTGGGATTTCGTGGGTTATGCCTCGATCTACGAGAGGATTGATGGAGGCTTGGAGAGGGTGCTATGTGGGAGGCCATGCTCGTGGGTTTTGGAGGATGGCGCCCTTGTGTTTATGGTGGTGTTTGTGGAGGGAGCAGAATAATAGGTCTTTTGAAGGAAAGGAATCCTTAATTGATGTTCTTAAGTCAGCTTTATTTCATCCTTATGTTTGTGGGGTTCGTGTAGGCTTTGTTCCTCCCCGGAGGAGATGATTGATTTATTTCTTCTTTGGGACCATAGGATCCCTTTGTTGTCATTGGGACATGTTCCCCTTTTAAACGTTTTTGAATGAATTTGCTTAACTATCAAAAAAAAAAAAAAAAGGATTGGAGCCGAGTGGACAAATGGAGGAAAGCTAGTGGTATCCTTTGTGACAAACAAATACCAAATAAATTAAAAGGAAAATTCGATATAATGGTTAGTAGACCAACAATATTGAATTGAGTGAAGTGTTGGGAATTTTGAAAGGCACAAATACAATGCATTTATGTAGCGGAAATGAGGATGCTATGTTGGATAATAGGAATCATTAGAATATATAAGATAAATAATGAACGTGTGAGGGGAACATTAGGTATAGCAATTATAAATTATAAAATTTGGGAAAGTGGACTTACATGTTATGTTCATATTCAATGTAGACCCGATGATGCACCTTTCAAGTGTGGAAGCATTGTTTGCTTATAAAGGGTAGGATGATGATGATGATGATGAAGTAGCTTGACAAATATTTCCTCTGGTATAGATTCTAGTCTAAGATGTAGACCATCCTCCATCCTATCAGAGACCAACAAAATTATTGATTTTGGTGGGCATCTTTGTAAGAAATCATTATTTTCAGGAAATTAATTACACAGATGGAACAACTCTGGAGTAGATGTTGTATCAAGTCGAATGAATCTTTTTACAACTTCACTTCCTGCACTATATAGAGTGGTGAGTCAACAAGTGAATCATCTCAGTAGTGTAGTTTTTCACTAGAAAATTTTGGAGTATCAGATCAGTGTTCAGACGTTGCCAGGAGTCCCCTAAAACAGATAAGGAAAACCAAAATATTGGTATCCATATCATAATAGAAACGCAAAATCAACCTCAAGCACCATGACTTCAATCTTTAGATGGCTTTATTTCATCAATCCGTGAGGCTGGCAATAAACACCTCCCTCCGCACCAAATGTGTGTCTGTGTAATTTTCACTCTCTCTCTCTCTCTCTCTCTATATATATATATATAAATTATATATATGAGTATATATTTCTTTCTATTTCTCTGGTTTCTTCTTTTTTTCGTTTTCCCCCCTTCCTAGTGAATTTCTTCTTTGCAGCTTACTTCCACACAATTTCTTTCTTTGAATGTTGTCCTGTTTTAATACATGAAGTTTGTGGACTGCATCTGGTTTATAAGTTTGTTTTTCCTTTCTATAATGCAGTGCGGAAAGGAGTTTCCTAATGATGGCATTGTATGTGAGAGCGTACGCGAGTGCCTTTGAGAGCAATGCAACTTTGGGCCTTTCCGCAAGTACCTTGAAGAGCCTGCTAACTCTGAAGAGCCTGGTAACACTGAAGATGCTAAATGATTCCACAATCCTCCCAGTCCAGTTTGAGGTTGAGTGCAAACTTTCAGTATGGTATGTGATACAATACCCTTTCTATAGCACAGAGAATGAGTTAATATTTGCTAGGCTACACTATGACATAATCATTTTATGTCTTACTAGTTTCTTCACTCAAAAGGTTAAGTTCATTATACAATTGGAATGAAATATATTTTTGTAAAGATCCTCCATAATTTAAAGGAAGAAATCTTTCTATGGATTCCTGAGAACAAGGATCTAGCTAGAGATTTTTGTTGGTAGAAGTGCTCAAAAGCACTTGATCGACCTTAAGTTAGCCTAGTTTGTACAATGGCTACATGAATTGTTTCGTATATGCAAGTTTAATCCAGTATGAGAGTATGCAGTTTTTAGGAGACCTAGATGCATTATTGGCTTGCTTCTTGCAAAGTGCATTAATTTTTGCATAGTTTAATTTTTTCCAATACTTGTATAGAATATTTATTTCATAAATGATTTTGTTCAATCATGCTCTTGCCTATGGTAGCTAGTCTTATTTCTCATCTGTTTGAGGTTAATATGTTGCTACTTATCTTTAGTTGCCTTCGGTATTTTTCTAGGTCATGTATTTTGAAAATTCATATCATCAGGGCTTAAGCTGGACGTGGGCCTTGAGTCAAAATAATTCAGTTTGGGTTTAATTGTGGTAGTGAGCATTTTAAATTTGGCCTTTTAGTAGTTATAAATTAGTGTCGCAAAATTGAGGTTTTAGGGTCTTTCAGAGTAAATACTAAAAGATATCAAGCAGCATATCTCTATGTACTTAGAAATTCAAAAAGTCAAAACATTTTTGAGTCTTTTGAAGGTATTTTATGCTACGCTGACGGATAAATATCAATATATATATATATATATATATATGCAAAACACGGATTCATGAATAAAATACATTTTATTTTGATGGATTATGCAATCTATATCTATGTATATTCTTTTGGTAATTTGAAATTTATAGTGTCTTTCTATTTAATAAAATGTGTATGCAATTCTGTTTTCAGGTCTTCAAGCAATGGCAGCCGCATCTTGAGCAACTGAATGGATGAATATTTTCTCTTCAAGCAATGTTTAACAAGTCGTCAAATTTTATTTATACAGAGAAAGACCTTCTGCTGCAAATTTCTTTTTCTATGCATATAAATTTGGGTTGTGGAATGCTAGGGCAGTATAGAGCAATTAATTATGTGATAGTTTCTTATGTGGTTCTATTGACGATCAATTCTGTTTGAGCATCTATTGCGAGACCTCATTTGGAGAGTTTTATAACAAGTGGAGAGCCTGACGTGGTGTAAGCCACTCCAATTTGTGGGGCCCACATCATAATCTCCACTCAATGCTCCATATTCATAATTGCACTTGAGAAATTAGTCGATTTAGTCAATTTTTCTCTGCCTAATCTATGGCTGTCGATGTGGATATGCTACATTAAATCATTAAATAAGTCAAAAGCAAAGAAACCTGCAATGAAATCCCCTCGACCTCTTCCATACTAGCCCATTCCATGACAGGGCTACATCCCAACTACGATGACCTTCATCTTGATCATCTTCCCCAAAGAGCTAGTTGTGTACGTCCCGTGAGGACCTGTAGGTGGACCCCATCAACTTTAATCCTCTCATTGTGTCTGAACTTCGACTTCAAATGCTTAATCTGCAAAACCCTTTTGTGATCAAAGCTGAAACAGTCTCGGATCGTCATTTACTTTGTAATGTAAGGAAATTTCTTTGCTTTTGCCTCCGAAGTAAGCTTTTGTGGTGTAGAGTTTGTTTCCGTACACATTCTCTTATGATAACCATAATTTGGGGGCTATTTCGGATTTTTTGCTCTGGCTTTGGAGTAAGCTTTTCTGGGATGAGGAGGGTCATTTCGTATGGCGATGTAGAATCCGGATTGGGTGCACTAACACAACATGGTTGAACCTATTGCAGACATCAACTGAACTTACCGACAATGGATAACAACGGCGATCACTGAAATGGCCGGCGCGACGGACTATTCTTATTGGCGACGACAATAATGTGCCTGGCGACAACGACGGCGTTGAATTAGCAGTGCACGATCATTTTATTTTTCTTTATTTATTTCTTGCCAACTGGAATGCCAGGTAGATTTTGCCAAAGGAGTGGCGAACCTCCTTGGTGGCGAAGGTGGGCCACAATCTATGCCATAATAACATATTCAACCCTAGGCAATAATAAATTAAAACGAGGCATGATTTAATTAATTAAAAAGAGCCATTTTCTTTGGGTAATAATTTAAATATTTTTAAAGAGTTGTACTCGTTGAATTTTTTTTTTTTTTTTTTTTTTTTTTTTCCCTCTTTGGAATCTCTATAAATACCACATTCAAATTCACTCAATTTTTTTCCTCATATAATTAATATAATGTGTTTTTTAAATTTTTTGAGAAAATATGTATAATATATTTTTATTTTATTCATAAAAATATGTCTACATGATAACAAATACAGCGGTTGTATTTTTCTCTATTGTTGGGAATATGTTTGATGTCAAAGACTATTTTTACTCTTATGCAATATTAAAATTACATCTTATTCTATTAGCAGTTGGGAATATAGTGGCTATGAATATAGCTGTTGGTAATAATACATATAAACAATTCAAAAAAAACTTTTTCTAAAAAAAATTATTTAATTTTTTTAATAAATACATTAAAAAATAATAAAGTAAATAACAAAAGAGTGTATTGCACACAATGGTATATGTTTATGTATAATTGACATGGCCATTCATTCGAAAAGTGGATAGGATTAAAAAGTGTTGAAATATGCACATTTCAACCCTTGATCTTGGATATTTAGGACCTTAATCTTTCTTTATTTTCCCGTTTTGGTCCTAATTTGTGTTTTTGTCAATTTCAGGTCAATAAGGTTCAAACGGACTAAAATCGGTTCATTGAAGCCTTTATAGAGTTAAGCAAGTGCATCGAGAAAAATCCAGAAAAATGCTAAGAAAGGGGCCTACAATTGATCGCACCTGGACCTATGATCGATCGCAACCAAGCTATGATCGTTCGTAGGCCACATCAGCAGATAAGGATGCCAACTTAGCAGGATCTTTCGTAAGCTCCTTACGATCGATTGCAATGCCACGTCAGCGAAAAGATCAAAGTGGATAAGTTCAATGGCAACTCATCACGATCGATCATAAGTTACTTACGATCGATTGCACCTGAATCACGATCGATCATGAATTATCCTAACAGTCTGTTTTATTCCCGGTTTTGCTTGGATCTCACTTACCAAATGACTATGGGATTGCATCATTTTGGGGCTTATTTCTGACTTGTTTTGGGCTCCAAGGGTCATCTATAAAAGGGGGATTGAATAATTTTGTAAAGAAAAGTTTCATTTTGGGGTTTCAAGCAAATAAGAAGAGGAAAAAGATGAAGCTATGTTTGGGGATTGCTCTTGAAAGCTCCATAACCACATCTACCTCCTCCATAATTGGCTAAACTTCTCCTTAAGGCTTGGATGAGCCCTAAGCTTATAATCTAAACCCTTGTCTTTCATTTTTTTTGGAGATTTATATATTGTGATTTGTGCTACGGTCTTGTGTATATCAAAACTTGGTTGTACCAAGGTGTTTATGATTAATTATTCCTATTAATTCTTTATGTTGGTTGCATGTTGTCTTATGTGATTAATTGAGGATTATGCTCTACACTAGATGCTTTTTGTAATTGTGTTTAGTGATGGTCATGCATGGTTTTTATTGGATACATTTGTTAATTAATTTGATAGGTTATGCTTAAGCTTGATGGGTTGTACTACATGGTCGTCGTCCTACCATAAGCTTAAGAGTGTGCATTAAGGCGAGGGCTAAGTTTTACATTTATAAAAGCCACTACTACCTTCACTAAAAATATAGTTAGGGTGAGTAGGGATCGTCCCAAGGGATTGGAGTCGAATTTGGTTGTGGAATCACAATTAGGGTTAGTAGGTCGAGTGATCAAACAAATAGTTGGTTGGCTGATTAAACTAGAGAGCAAATTAAACTAAATAATTGAATGCAATAAAGAGTAAGTAAGAAAGAGAGATCTTGGGGTTTAAGAGGTCACCACCAAACAATACTTTTCTACATCCTTAACAAGTGACTAATGAGGGAAATGTGTGTTGCAATATTGATGTGTGTGTGTGTTTGGTTGATTTAATTAGCAAGGATGACCAATTAAGTATATATTGTCTAAGCAACATGTGAAAAGCACAATATCTCTAGCAATTAAGTATATATTGTCTAAGTAGCATGTGAAAAACACAATATATCTAGCAAGTCATTAATCCTTTCATTAAGCTCACAAGCCAAATACACCACAAGGTTAGAGACATATGCTACTTGCATTCAAAAGTATGGAACATCAAACAACAAACATGGATTGTCCTCCCATCTAACAACTATACTACCACTACACTACAATTAAGGTAATGACATGAAATTAAACTAATTAAGCTAAGGGAGAGCCACAATCCATCAAGCAATGAGCATGAACTATCAAGAAAATTACAAGAGCATTCCATTAAGCACTATGTTTTGACAATCTCTAGATCTATGGTATTAATACACATAAACATGCATCAATAACACAAGAAATAGGGACAAATACATGAATATCTATTTTAGCATACATAGACATATGGATAGAATGAAATGATCAATTGGAAGCATTAAACCACATAAATCATTGAATAAACAAGATATATATATATATATATATATATATATATATATATATATATATATATATATATATATATATAAGTGCCAAAACATGTATTACAACACTAATCCCTCAATAATACACAAAATCAAGATGTAGAAAACATGCTTGGGGCTAACTCTAGCCCTAAGAGGATGTCTAGCCACTCATGGTAATACTTCTCCAACCCTCAAGGGCAAACTCCATGGAAGAAATCTACTCCTTGGTTGATGAAGAGCTCCCAAGCTTGTGTCTCTAGCCTTCTCCTCCTTTTTTCCTCCCTAAGAATAGCCTCTGTTGTGATAGATCAATCTTCCTCAAAAAGTGTATCATATTCTATATATAGGTAGGTCAAGTGACACACAAAATGAGCTGGGATCGTGCACAAAATATTCCCCAATGATTGGATAAGGACAACTTTCAATGAGTTGGAAATTTAACTTTTTCGCATTGGAGGAAGTTCGATTGATCGAACCTTGGACTTGGATCAATCGAACATGGCTGAGATCTATCGAACTGAAGTTGGATCGATCCTCAATGGCGGCGCCTTTTTAGATAAAAACAAATCTGAGATATTTCGAAGATATTTTTGGGAAAAGGACAAAAGTAGTTGGTAGGGTGGTACAACTAGATAAGATAAATCATTTGAATAAGGACAATGTAGTTAGATCGATCGAAGAATGATGTTGGATCGATCGAACTTTTGAGATCTCCGAAAATGTCATCATGGCTCTGATCCATTTTGAAGTGCTGAGATTGATCATGTTGGATCGATCGAACTTTGATCTGAGATCGATCGAAGATGTTGAATTCCACATTTTTCTTCCTTTTGCTTCCACTTGGCTCATTTTTTTGATTCATTCCAGAATTGCTTCATTTATGCTCTTATTTGGTTGAGTTAGCTTATTTTCGGGATAAGTGCCTGAAAATGGAAATAACACGAAATAAATCTAAAATGGTAAAGTAAGATAGATAAAGGTACTAGAATGCCTAAGCTTAAGGGGTTTAAATACGCACTTTTCAGCGCTCATCACACCCCTAAACTTAAATATTGCTAGTCCCTAGTAATGAATTAGAAAGTAAAGGAATGAAATGAATAACTAACTAACTATGAACTAGAAAGTAATAAATGGATAACACCACTTTCGTAGGGAACACGATTGCACTTAGTATATGCAACAAGCCTTTTAAACCCCTAGGTTACCCCTAGTGGACGAGTGAAGTCTCGTGAGGGTTTCCAGAAATGATACCTACAAACATTAAGCTCATTCTTTCAAAAGAGACACCAATATTGCAAATAAGCATTGGGAGAAAACTACCTCAAGTATACAATTTTTCAAACATTTCCAAGCAATCTCCCAAAATCTCAACATCAAGAAAGCAAATATGGTCCTCCACACATCAAGAAAATGATCATGCAAATCAAAACAATTCTAAAATCCTTTTTGAGTGGACCGGTATCAAATATATTGCTATCTAAGCCAACTAAAGAATTAATCACATCCTTACCTTCAAACTAGCACACAAATCTAGTACCGATCATCAAGACAAAAAGTGAACCTTTTATTAAAGTTTTATTGTTCTAGGTGCGCTTATTCTTTTCACTCGATTTTTTTATTTTTTATTTTGTTTTATTGGATCAAAGATGGAAGCATGGTGCAATGTGTTGATCTATTAAAC